ACAGGTTAATTTTTACGGTACTAGACTAGTTAATTTCATAGCCAACAACAGTCAAAGATGTACTTCAATCCAAAGACAAACACAAGCTAACACTTCAAAAATTTGTGGACTGTATGTTGTATTTTTTGTAACAATGAGATTATGTTTTAAAATGTCATTGAAAAATGTATATGATATGTTGTCTGTAAATATGCATGCAAATGATCGATTTGTTAAGTTATATTTTTTAAAGGTATATTCTAAATAAAGTATGATTAACAGATATTTTTTATTTACTTATTCTTCATGAACCTTATGACGTAAGTCTTAATAAAACCCCCCCGCTTTTATGACAATAGTTCATTTGTCACAAACAAACGCGATGGAGAACGATCAAACGATGTTACCCTTTTCTTCGCCGACAACAATTTGTGTAGTAGGACCAACTCAGGCTGGCAAATCGATGTTTACTAAAAGACTCATAGAAAATGCCAATGTCATGTTCGTTGAACCACCAGAAAAAATATTGTATGCTTATTCCGAATATCAACCACTGTTTGACGACATGCAAGAACAATCCAACTTGATATTTCACGAAGGTCTTCCGGATAAACAAAAAATTGAAGAATTTACGGAAAATGGAAAACATTCATTGATTATTTTGGACGATCTAATATCTAAAATAGTACAATCGGAAGAGCTCTTGCATTTATTTTCTGTTACAAGTCACCATAGAAAGGCATCCGTAGTTCTCATTTCGCAATCTTTGTACCCTCCAGGAAAATACGCTAAAAGCATTTCTTTGAATTGTGCCAATTTCGTTTTGTTTCGTAACCCTAGAGATATGCGTCAGCTGATAACCTTTGCATCGCAGATTCTCCCAGGCATGACGCAATATTTCATGGACAGCTATTTAAAAGCGACAAAAGAGAGGTATTCGTATATGCTCGCTGACCTTTCACCCCACAGAGAAGATCGACAATACATGCTCAGAACAGGAATTTTTCCCGGTGACACGTGTGTAGTCTACAGACCTGTATAAATATCGATGAATGTGTTTTTTCGTATCATTTTGTAAAATATGAGTCAACGAATGAAATCAAATACAGTATTTTTAAGATTTTTATACCAAGCTAGTAAAAATCAAAGAGTGGCAATCTTTCCACATTTGACTAAAGAACAATTGAATGTTCTATCCGAAGTGGCTTTAAACATTTTTAAAGGAGTGTTTCCGAACAAACAAAAATATATAAAAACTTTGAAACCATATAAATCAGTTCTTTACCAATTAGGATCAAAATCATTAGGTGTACGAAAGAAAAAACAATTACTGATACGTTACAACAATTTGATTCCGCATTTGTTAGGACCCTTATTGGATTTCTTGTAACAATGGCAAAAGAGCTGATATTAGTGTCAAAAAGAAAATACGAAGAACTCTTAAAATCGGGGAATCATAGGGATACAGAAATGACAAGACAGGTCGACGAGCATGAAAAACCTGAAGATAGTGATCCGATGAAAGAAGTTTCTATGCAAACAGGAAATGGACAATTCGTTGAAAAACTAGACACTAATGAACATGGTACGCCCGGTATACTAGATCGCCCTCCAAAGATACGAAGGAAGACATTAAAAAAGAATGTAAAATGGATTTCATTTTAATTATCATATAATACAGTGGTTTTCAAATAAAAAATATAATGATCACTTATTTACACTACAATAGCCAAATGGTAAAGTTGTCAAGTCGTTTAATAACCGTCTCTTCGTGTATACCATTCTGTAATCTTTCTCTTCGACCCTGTTATACAATTTCCTTTTACGGGATAGTCTTGAACTTTTGCGTGGATTCCTCGTTTTGATATACTCGATATTTTTATTCACTACAACATCGCAAATAGAAGAAAAATTAATTAGATCTGAATTGGTTTTATTGTCTAAGGAAAAGCCTCTAACTTTACAGGTTTCTCTTCCGGAGGCCATCTTAAAGGCGTAATTCTTAGGACCTCCAGACACAAAATGTGTAATATGTCCATCTTCTGGTGAAACTTCGTTTGTCAATTGACCCAAGTAATTCCCTATGGGTAGTGTTTTTGTTAAGTTTTTATCTTTATCCCGAAAGATAATCGAGTCCGTATCCACGTACAAAGCGTTGGTACCGGTACGTTCCAGTAATTCGTACAGTTTGGTCCTTGCCCAACAAGTAGTAAATGAAGCTATGAAAATGTTAGTTTTGACGTCCATAGGAATAAAAAACGGATGATCCGTATGTTCCATTTGTACCAAATCTTTACTAATGATGTGAAAATCTATAACCTCTTTTCTAGGATCCGACAGTAACTGAAAAAAATTCTCTGCCTCGTTCTCGTGGAAAAATGTAGTTTGTTTCATGTTTAGACGTTGGCCAAATTTACCCCAAAAACTGTTTAAAGCAATTTTTGCCAAGCTACGAAGTCCTGGATTTTTTTTAATTTGATTATAGTCCAAATGTATTCCTTCATTTTTAGCGTAGTCTGCTATGTAATCCCGTTTCTGTTGTTCCGTTCGGCACTCTTCTGGAAACCCCGATGCTTCTTGTTTTAATTTCAAAAAGAGGTTGACATATGCATCGAAAAGTCCTCCTTTGCCCGTTCGAGGATTGTACGTTCGATGTTCTGGAAAGTGATATACTTCGTATATCTTTTGAATTTTATATCCTTTCGAACGTGCCAGATTCAGCTCTAGAGTACACCAAGTTCCGACAATAGCTCTTTCTTCATCTGTACAGGTACAGTCATTCTGGTTTTCGTTATCTGCACATTGTTTACAGAGTGGAAACTTCAATTTTCCATTAGAAACGTACGGTAGAACAGGATGAAACAGATGTCTGTTAGGCAAGACTTTGACCTTCGCGACTCCGAAATAATCGGAAATATCTTCAAAATCTGATGTTATGATGACAGGATGACCAACTGGATATTTCCCATATTTGTTAACACTGGGATACAGACTACAAAATAAAAAAAAAAAAAAATGATATAACAAGGGATGAAATCATTTGAATAATTATAGTTATCATAATCCAGTTTCTAAGAATCGAGATTACCTCGTAAAGTCGAAATACTCGATGGTCTCTCCTGGTTCTGTACATTCGTGATAGAGCGTAATTGGATTGGTCCTACCGCCAAAAAAACTTTGTCTAACGTCTAAACGATCTTCGATATCACACGTTGATACGTAGTCTCTCATATGGTCGTCTAAATCCAGCTGGTGGTGAAATTCGTGCTCCCAAATGCAGACATACTTGTACCCAAGACGTATCAGTTCTCTCTCTTTCTTTCTGGTTAGGTAATACAATTCATTCATAGAATGTTTTGTCATTGGATGTGTTGTCTTTGTTCTATCGTGTGGGTAGCAGGAAGGACATCCATGGAAAACACAACCTTAAAATATATAATAATATATATATATATATATATATAATGTATATATGTGTATATATATATATATATATAATATATAAATAATAATATATTTTATAAACATATTAATATTGCCGCCGCCGCCACCACCGTTTCGTCTTATACATTTAATATTACCACTCACCTAAGAATTCGTAAGCTGTCTTTTTTGGGAACTCCACGTAACCGTCTAGTCTGTAGTTTGTTCCAGGTACTTTGTATTCCCCTCTACCGTTCAAGGCGTGTTGTATGTGGAGTCGTTTTCCCTTACGTCCGCTGGTTTCCATGATCCATTCCAACCACTGAATGGAAACTTTGCTAAAATTATCCCTTGCAACATAACCTTCTGATGGGACGACAGCAATCGGACTTTTGACAAATGCCGTTTTCTCTACTTTGTATGTATCTGAAGAATGTAAAGCTTTTTCGGTTACCCATTCACCACGGGGCAAACGTACAAGAAATTCACCACTTTCCTGTTTCGATGGACACTTCAGAGTCTCGTTATTCGACAAATTTGTCAAAACAGTTTCATATTCTTCCTCCAGAAACAATTGTCTGTAGATCGCCTGACAGGCAGAGGCAATCGTGACGTAATCGTATGGATCTATGCCTTCGGTAATTTTTTCGTTGCTAACCGAAGTAACTTCCATCATGATTTTTCGAAATTGCATGCATCCGCGTCTTAAAATGTCTACGTCCGATACACAGTACTTGTACATCTCTGACTGAAAATCAAATGTTTTGCTCTTGTTGCTATTGTACCATTTCCAAAATGTGTTGGCTTCTTCTTCGCCCATGTATTCGATTCCGTAATAGTGTGCCTCTGGATGTGGCCCTTTATAAGACTGGTTTTCTTTCGTGTTGAACAGATGTGGAAAGTAACCTTTTTGTAATTCCTGTAAACCGAAACACTTGGGAATTTTCGACAATTTCATTCCTATGAAATTGATCGAATCCAGAAAGGTCAGGTCTAAATTCTTTGATACATGCATATATACTATCTTCGAACCGTCAAAAATAATTTTATTGGGCTTTACGCTGTGGTGTTCTATCAGGGCATTCAATACGGGGTAGTTATCAAAACCTTTCGCATTGTGTGCTATGAGTACCGTGTTTTTGTAATGCGGCGTCATGATCTGGGAACAAAATTCGTATGGAACGTCTTCGCCTTTAAACACCCTTTGTCTGTAACCGCAACTGCTTTCGCATGGAAGTGTCGTAGTATTCTTTTTGAAAATTCTACACTTTTCACAGCGACTTCCACAAGTGTTACATTTTGAATCCGCGGTTAATTCTACATTTTCACAAATGACGCAAGTGGACTGTAAAACCGCATAATTCACCTTGTGTTCCGCTAATCCGCACCATGACTGGTTACAGTTTTCACAAATTCTACACGTCTTACATCTTTCATCTGCTGAACATTTTTTTAGACAGGGTCGGCTAGGTACATGACCGTCCGTGCATTGATTATTATAATTGCATGTAATCCGATGACAATGGGTACACGTTCTACATTTCCTACATCTATCTCTGTCCGTGCATGATTTCCCACACGGAACGTTAGGTGCATACCCTTCTTCGCACGACATCTTTTCGTTTTGGGTTGTTTCGAAATCGTAAAAAAAGTATTTTCTCGGTTCTTTCTTCGTCGTATCTTTTAATGTCTTACGTTGATAACACCAATGTGTACCTATGTGATATTCGAAACAATTTTTACACCGCCACTCACCGCATGTATGTTGTTCAGGTGAGCGTTTCTGTCGACACCGAATCTTACGACAGTTTTTACACTGGTAAAATCTTTCGCACATCGTTTTGCTATTTTCATTGTCCCTTCTAGACGTTTTGGTATTGTGTCTGTCATAACAGTCCTGGCTGCGACATGTTTGGTTGCATTGGGAGCAAATAACAGGATGATTACTAACGCGACACGAAAGGCTACCACATACGGCACATGTGTCAACGCAAGAGTGTTTTCCTTTATTTTTGTAAGGTTTTAAGCAAGATTCGCAAAAATACCCATAGCCAAAAAAACCATTTATACTTCCTATACCTTGAAAATGGCCCGTTCCATCGGCATTTTCTATCAGATACAAGTAAATATTTTTACGCTGTGCTTTGGTACTGACTCGACAAAACTTGTTGCCCAATCTTGCAGAAAGTACCAAAATATTAACGTCTAATACATTTTCAAAATTTTCGATATCTCTTATACTTAAAGCTTCGTCTGTTGAAAGATTGGCTTCTTTGCATAATGTTATCGCCATTGTTTTACTGTAACTTGTATTCTTTAGAGCAGATGCACTCACGTTTTTGAAATAACTTTTAGTCGTCATTCCGTGTTTTATGACTTTTTGACAAGTGTTCATGTCTTCGTCGTTTTTTGTTGTTTCCCTCCATTTTTCTAATGGTACAATTTTACAGAGTTTTAAAAAACATCTACCAATAGCCGTTGCCAGACACATTTTATCTTCATTGCATACCTGTAAAATCGATCTTTTCAAAGCCATGGAATTCGATGCCCCTTTTAGGCGAGTTATTGGCAATCTCCCACTACCTCTAGGTACTGTTATATTTCCTATCGTGACATGCATTGACGTATCTTAAGGTAGGTTTTCCTCTGAATTCAGCACATTCTCGACAGCTTCCATTACTCTTTGTGAGTTTATGTTTGACCATTTATCTAAGGGTACAACGATGGAATTATTTAGTTCGGGATGAGAGATGATAACTCGTCCTAAATCGTTGTCATTTCCTTTGGCTTTGTTTAAAACATCATCAAACATGTTTTCCAATTCCTTTTTAAGATTACGTAATTTTTTACCCTTCCACGTATCATTAAATTTTACTTTATATGTGGTCTCTTTTGCCAGATTTTTAGAGAATGTTTTTTGTCCGGATCTTCGAAATAAATAGGGGTTTTCTTCGGGTTCTGCGCCGTAACCCTCTTCTTCCGAATCATTCATGGTCAGTGTGACATGTTGGTCAGTACCAACAAGCACATTTTCTATGTCTGACCCATTAGTATAGGGGCAACTGGTGAAGTTAAAAGGTAATACATTTGCGAGGAAGGAGTCTCCCAAATCATCCAATGGACAGTGTAGAGCATAGGGTGTAACCAGTTCGTTTTCCAACGTTGGAGTATATTGGTTAGAAAAGCTTGTGGAGGGTACGTCAGATATATCGCTGAAATGGTCAACTGTAGTATTATTGGCTATATCTACAGTTTTGTTTCGACCTGTGGTCATGTCACCCAAAATTTCATGGATTTCCAAATGGTCTCTCAACTCCGTTGATAAATAAAATCTCTTTTTACACCATGTACACGTAAGTAAAATTACGAGCTTGTCTAATACTTGAGAGTTGTTTAAGAGAAAGTTATCTGTGGCCCAACTTATCAAACTGTTGGCGTCAGTGAAACTGTTTAGAACATCTGTCAAATTGATTGACTGAAAATGATTTATTCTGTTTTGTACCAAGATATGATCCATTAGACCATTGTCTGTGGCCCATTCTTGTAACTCATTTAAAGATGTGAAGTTGTTGATGATATTGTTCAAGGTTGGTGGTTTGTGTTTCATGGTTTCAACTAAAAAAAAAAAAAAAAAAAAAAAAAATGTAGAACTTGTTCCTACAGTGAATTCATTTTTTTTAAAATTTTATTTCGACAAATGTTTTTTTTTTTAGAATAAAACAGATTTTAAAAACAATTATTAAAACATAAAGATTGCTTCCATGAAGACTGATAGTACAAGCTAATGTGAATAAATTATTTCGCTTTTTTTTTTTTTTTTTTTTTTTTTTTTTTTTTTTACATAGTTATTTTTTTCTTTGACTATAATATCTTAATATAATTATGGGTCCTACCTTATGTCTCATCTCCCATACCTCCAGTAAATCTTTCATGTTCTTTTCACTTCTTATAGTGTCAAACCCCCCATATTATGCAATTTTAAAAGTAGGTTAATGGTTTGATTGTACTTCTAACCTTTGTGTTATGTAAAATTTAAGGTTAAGGTTTATTAGATCCCATTAAGATACTATGTTCATCTTTTCTTTGTATGGTTCATTAATTTCCTTTTAGTGGGTAACCTAGATACAAACATCAGATTAAAGGATGGTTCTTCTCCATTTCATAAATAACTCAAGACATTAAAAACAACATATTTAATAAAAAGTAATCATAAAATATACATTCATCATATAAAACATTCCAAGTAACAAAAACCCTATAAGTAACAACCTTTTTTTTTCTTCTCATACAGTGAACAACATTAATTGAACACTATTTTAGCACCATTTTCAAAATAAAAACTTGGGACTAGAAAAATGTCTTTGGTCCATAAAACAATAGTCTTCTAAATAAGACAAGCCATAAAAGCATCAAAAGTTACATAAAGTATCAAAAAGGAAAATCTTTTACAAAAAGAAAGATATGAGACAGTTTAGTGAACACTTCATATTACATATCAACAGTAAGAATAAAAAACTAATATAAAAACAAAACAAAGAAAACAGAAATATATATCAGCTCAAAACCTTTTATATACATAGTGGAATGATATAGTTATAAACTTATGAACACTGTTTCACTAAATGATGTGTACACAAGGAAGACAAAATTACTTCAAGCATCTTACTTTAACAAAAATAAAATTCTTCAAGACAAAACTCAAACAATATAAAACAATGTATATTAATGAGAAACTTAACAGCTTTCAGAAAATTTGAGCAATATCACATGATATATAACAACAATCATAACATTGGGACATTATGTATCTGAAAACAAAACCATACCAACTGTTAGATTTTAAAAATGGAACACCACAACATTCCTGAGTATTTGAGCAAAAAAAAAATATCATAATATATCTATTTACACTTTTTACACACTTGTAAAAAAAAAAAGAAACTACTTTGTTTTAATTTAGTTTGACCCAGTATGTTTTAATTTAATTTGACCAAATACTGGTGTAATCACCAAACAGATATTTCAAACAGAACACTTTCTTTTGTAGCACTATTTTAAAAAAAAAACAATTTAGAAACATACTTAGCACCAATTTTAACTGCAAACAGTAACAAAAAAAAAAGAGTACAACATATCTTTTTTTATTTTTCTTAATACAAAAGAGGTAAAAACATCTTTTAAATTTCTCTTTGTGTTATCTCAGAAATTTTTTAAATATAGTTTAGTTATCAATATACAAAAGATAATTTATACAAAGACTATATTGATTGATGAGACACTTAAAATATGGGACTTGGCATTGTATAATTAACAACAAAACTTAAAAACAATCCTGAGTATTTCACTAATACTGTGCATGCATATAAAAATTGAAAATCTATTTACATTGTTTTGAAGTCACCAAATACTTTAAACCATTGTTTGTATTATTTATTTATCCACCTGTCATATCACAAATTTATAGTCTAATATTTTCACACTGGTTTGAAAAAGTTAAAGATGAATGAAATCTAAAATTTGTTTTCCCCAAAACGTAATGCTTTTCACTAAACTATGGTCAAAAGCTATTTAATTTTGTTTTAATTTAAATCTTGCATTTAGTATTTTTGAATAAAAATTTAATCTAAAAAAATAATCCAAATATTATCAAAAAATAAAACTAATTTCAGCACAATTTCTTTCACATATAAGTCTCTTCTGTTAAGGGGGTCTTTATTCGATGACTTCTGGTTCGTCTTGCTATGGGGGGTGTTGGATCTTCCATTAGAGGTGCAGATGGTTCTGGAGATGATTCCCTATTGAAGCTTTCAGTGTCTGATGAGGAGGAGTATGTACGTAGGGTAAAAATAGGTGGGATGTCTTCAATTGATCTTAATGAACTAATTCTAGGTACTGTTGGTCTTTGGGGGGGGATATTTCTGGAATGGGAATGATGGTGGGTATTTCAAATGATGGAGTAATATCTAGTGTTGGTATTTGCGTTGTCACTGTCGAATCCTGTTGAGATCTTGTTATGGGAAGATACGGCTGTTTCTGTTGTCTACTTTGGTATATCATCTTGCCTACAACCAGTGAAATGTAGGCAACAAATAGTCCCGACACTGTCCAGAATACTGCAAAATAAAAAAAACACATTTATATTCATTGTATAACCTTACCACAATAAATTGATATTTTACTTGCCATGATAGAATATAATGTTATTTCTTTTTTTTTTTCATTGTTTTTTCATGTCGAGTTAAAAATATACTGTTTAGTTGATCACATACCAATTCTCCTCATCTTGTGCAAAAGTACAACTATAATGCCAAACCCTCATTCACATTTATGTATTAAACCCTTAATTAACATTTGAAAAAATATTATTTTCTATTAGGGTTAAACAAAACTACAGAACTTACATATTCAGTGTTATACATCTATAGCTAAAGAACTGCCAAAACATGTGATAATTTACCAGATCATTTGTATTGCCATGGTCTTGACTTGATACAGACATTTTAATTGAAATGGTTATTCAAACAATAAAAGATTTTTATGTACCTGTCATGAATACATCCATTTTCTCTAAGTAATTTCCCAGGTCTTTCTTCTGTTCTAAAATTATGAAAAAAAAAAAGTAAAACACATTTAAATTACTTAAAAAAGTTATATCTCAAATTATTTTTATTAGTCATGAACAACACTAAAAGTCTTACTAAATGTATGTGCATCATATAACCTACATTGTTAACAATATAAAATAGAAACTTGTACTGTTAAAATGCTTTATTTTTGAAAGATCTTATAATTTTATATTTTAGGTAAACAGTCACTTTCTATTTTTACATATCACCTTTTATGTATCATTACCTGAATGTGGTTCTTTACTGTTTGTGGTCACCCTGACTGTTGTGGTAGGCCATGCTTCTTTGTGATCTGTGGTCATTGAATCCCTAGTGGTGGGCCATGCTTCTGTGTGGTCTGTTGTTGTTTCACTTGTAGGTTTGGTGGGGTTTTTTTCCTTCCTTGTCACAAACACTTCTAATATGTTGTCAGGTACTGAAAAAAAAAACATTTTTAACACAAATATATCTTTATAAAATATACAAAAGGTTGTCTTACCAATTGTCTGTTAGAAAAAAATATAATTTTTACAATAGAATTAAGTCAAAATTAAGTTCTGTCCAGTAAAACACCTTTAAAATCATTGTATTGGGGGCCATTTTTGGATTTTAATTCATTTAAAGTATTATAAAAGATTTGACACTTCTGGAATATATCTAAATTTTATAAAATTTTTAATATAATTTATGTATATAATATATGAATAAATAAGGTGGTTAATTTTCTCATTTGATTTGTTTTACATTGTCATTTCAGGGCTTTTTATAGCTGACTATGTTGTATGAGCTTTGCTCATGGTTGAAGGTTGTATGGTGACCTGTAATTGTTAATTTCTGTGTCATTTCGGTCACTTATGGAAAGTTGTCTCCTTGACAATCATACCACATCTTCTGTTTTACATTACAAAAGTTATTATCCCTTGAGTAAGGAGACAGCCTTGCAGGTAATTCATTATTTGATAAAGTGACTTACTACTGGCCAGCACAATAAATTTGTCAGTACATAGTACTGTCAAAGCAGATATTTTCATGTGAACTTTATATTTTGTTATTTTATTTGGTGGGTATAAGATATTTAAGCAAATTTATTTGTGGTTTCTACTTTCCTGTGTAAAAAAAAAAAGGAAAGTACAAATTTACAAACCAATAGTCAGTTGTATCATTCAAACAACAACAAAATTCTTGATTTTATATTTTAGATTAACCTTAGGATGAACTTACTTGACAGTCCTGGCAAGTTGAATGACATTTTGTAAAAAAAAAAAAAAAAATCTCAAAGAATTACATATCAATTAAGCTATAAGTGAATATGGGGTGACTTTTTGAAGTTTATCAAGATAAAGTTTTTAAACAACATAGTAATAAATGAAATTATAAGTTTGTTTATGACATGCTCTGCACATATTGGACGTAATTGTATAATGTGTTGTCCGTCTTTAAACTTGTGGTTCAAAAATAAATAATATATTCTCCCATGAGACTTTTGAAAATAAACACAGTTTTTATTGTTTTGTTAACCACAACATAATGTCCATTTTCCCACCAAAAATACAGCTGCTAAATTTATGAAATACATGTTATAATCAATCAAGGGGTCTTTGAGGTGTAAATAAGCTACAATAGGTTTGATTAAGATCTGTATTATACTTATGCTGTGCTTAAACCATAAGGAATGGTCTTAGGTGGATTTTCTTTAAAACTTTGAAATTGAACATTTATCATACTTTGATGTGTAATGTTTTCTTGGTCAAAGTTTAATCACAGACAGCATTATTTTTTACTTCATATAAGTTACTGTGTTAATGTAAAAACCTACCACATGTCTCATTTGTGCATGTCCAGCTACACTCTCTGTTAAACATGTTTGCTACAGTAGGGGGCTCATTGAAGTCTACCAGATGGATAATACAATCACAATTTTCTGACATCACTTCTACAATCATCACTTCCCTGACATAAACTTCCTTGTTGCAGAAGCAAACGGCCGAAGCTGTGTCATACTGACATTGACCACTTGTAGTTGTAATAAAGATGAATAGAACTGATACAATTTGAAACCACGCCATTTTTGTTTTGAAGAGAACGGAAAAGAGGTCGGGATGAATGGAGAACCTGTTGGGATAATATCGAATGTCACTAGTTGTTTCAGTTAATAAGAAGAAAAAAAAACCCGTTGTAATTCTTCTTATTTGTTGTAAATAAAATATTAATTCAATTTCGGATTATATATATTATAAAAGAAAATAAATTCAACTCCATGACATTCGAGTTACCTTCTTACTTTAGAAGATTCGATATAGAAAAACTTACTGTTCTCTAAAAACACTAAGTACCAAAAGGTTACGGTTAAGGACATGGTTTTCATTCGTATACATATAGGTAAACACTAGGGTTATTCATACAATTTTGATTAAAATCTGTAAATGAAAATGTATCAATAACCTGAGATAACATTGAATAATTTTTTAAAATGTCATCCATTATTGTAATACTGTTAACAATTGCAGTACTCCACATTGAGAGGAGTAAATTTTATATAATAAAAACAAAAATGTTCCAGATATTTCATTTCAAGCATTTGTTTTATCCATATAATTTCTCCTGTGTACATTTAGTTGAATCCTAAGTCCTATGTACTAGAGTATTAATACAGTGGGTTTTTTTTCCCCCACATACATTTTATAAAACCTACCATCACTTCATATTTTGGATTGCTCATTTCATACAATTTTAAAGCACACATACATTCTTCATCCTTCCCCCCATATTGACAATTATGAGGTTGTTTTTCACAAGAAGTCTTGTAAAACATTCTTTATATTGTAATTTTAAAATCATAGATTCCAACACTAAACATTTTATTCATTTTAAAGTGTAGTAAATTGTTCTGACATATTTAAAAAAAATATATCCAAATTTGGCCTATTTTCAGTAACTAACTAGTGAACATTATATTGTATTACATAACCATTAGTTAAAAACAGAATCCATGGTCTAGTAGGAAAGGTCTATGATGGAAACCTACAGCCTGAAAAGCATCTTAGATATTAATCTCAGGTACATGTACATGATTTTTTTTTTATAATTTAACATAACAATTTGTAATAGTAACACTATTTTAATATTTGGTCTTTGTTTTTCATAACAGTCTATGTAAAAGATGTGTAAATTGATAAACCTCAAAAGATGTAAAAATGATAAAACAATAATTTAATGGGAAGTTTCAAACTATTATGTAGTTTACATAATTATTTGTTATGTAAAGATTCAAATCTATTGTTTAAAAGGGTCAATTAGAAGATCTGTAAATCTTAGATTTTACAGTTACTTATTAATTATGTAACATTTTTGTATAAAATATACATTACTTTCTTTTTAACAGCACAGGTCAACAGATAGAAGATATTGTAAGTACTAAAACTATTCTTTTTACACTTAGATTTTTCCAAAATGCTACTTTTATAAATATAAAATATTTTATCTTAAAAGTCTTCAATGATTGTAGTAAAAGCATGATTGTAACAGTATGTATTTTGTTGTTAGTACTGTGTACCACCATTTTCATTTTGAACATCCTTGAGCTTTATGTCATCCTTGTACATGTTATACTTGTATTATTTGAATTTTGTAACATTTGCTTCTGTTTATCTTATTATTTTAGAGAATGGTTTCTTAATTTAAATTATAGTGTGTGTGTATTTTTTTTTCTTGTTGACATTATTGTATTTTTAATTATAGTAATTACTGGAGGGTTTTTTTTCAGGTATAATCAGATTTAATTTATTATGGAAGGAGCAGCAATGATGAAACAAGAGCCTCAAGCAAATGATGTTCAGACAAGGTATTTAATAATTTTTCATTACTGTTATTATAATTGTTCTTAATCATTACAATATGGATAATGAAACTGAATAGACTGAATCTCTTACATTTTTAATTATAAAAAAAGAAGATGCAGTATGATTGCCAATGAGACAACTCTCCACAAGAGACCAAATAACACAGAAATTAACAACTATAGGTAGCCATATGATCTTCAAGAATGATCAAAGCCCATACCACATGGTCAGCTATAAAAGATCCCACCATGACAACGTAAAACAATTCAAACAAGAAAATTGATTAGCATACTATATGATATTTTTTACAATATACCAACTAACTATTCTTATTTTGAATTCAGTTCAATATTTGATAATGATAATAATAATTCACTGAATAGTTATAATTTGAATGTATTTTTTAGGTATTCAGAAATAGCTGTTATTAATCATCTTGAAGACCTCCTGAAAAAGAAAATTGATGATCTGGGTGTAAAAATTATGTACCAGGCTGAATTATTGGGACGCAATAAAATTAAATTGAATAGTGACATTGTGTTTAAGAAGCAATTAAAATCCCGAAAAAGGGATTTAATGTCTGAAGAATTAAACAGTTAACATTGGAAAATGGACAAACCAGATATATGGTTTTTTAAATATCTAAAGACATTTGTTGTTGAATTAATTTTGTATTATACATTTGTGTAATAAAATGTATAAATTCCTTTATTTGATGTCTTTATATAAATAAAGTTATCTTGACAGGCTATGTAGAGAGTTTTTATCAAATGTTATACCTGTATATAATATCTAATTTCATTTAACTTTATAGCATGTAAAGGGGATTATTAGTAAAAAACTAGATATAGTTTAAAAAAAAAAAACAACACCAAGACAAAAAAAAAAATATGCATACCTAATTTATTTCACAAATATTCACAAATAAATTACACTGTACAATATCTGAGAGAAAATATCATTTATACTTTTACAGTTTTGCTACATGTATTAAACCATATCATCCTAAATGTTTCTGATTCAAAGCTTTATTAATATACTGTGTGATGGCTGTTAAGTAGTTCCACTGTATCAATGTTAATGAAATGCCTTTAATGGTAGGTTTATGGTTTAAAAATTGTCTGATGTCTATAACTGTTCTCTTGTTGTTGTATTTACATATAGTTAACACAAATTCACTAGGTAGACTAAAATGTTTAATAAAAGAACACAATGACTGGTTGAAGTTTTGGTCAATTTTAATGTAGTCAGTCATGTTTTTGTTTTGTTTTGGAGATTCATATACACCACAAGTTATCCATAAAGTTGTTGCTGATAATATTAATATCACAATTACTCCTGTCCATTTCAACATATTTATATGCATTTCATAATGATAGTACATATCTGACAAACTAGATGCAATACTTTTTCTTGATGATGAAGATGTAGAATTAATCCTTGTATGTGACATGGTTAAAATATTATGACAACCTTTCTCTCTCAAGTCATCAATGTAAATAAACTTGTAAATAAATAACAACTACTCTTATTTGTCAGTTATGGTTGCTTACTTTTTCATTATGGATATAAGGGTACAAGGTTAATTAAATCTCTCTCTCTCTCTCTCTCTGGAATTAATGTTGAAAAGTACATTTTAATATCTTATGTAATAGGATTTTATTATAGTTCAAAAAGTGGTGATATATATTATGTAATGATAGATGGTGTTGCGATAAGAATTCATATAGTGGGGGTTATAATCATTTGTTATGGGAGTTGTAGAGCCCCCTATAGTAGTGATTTCTAGACCAACGGTGTGACAAAAATACAGGATAAAATGGTCATTAATACGTTTTACAACTAAATTCATATTAACAACACGTTAAATGATATAATATGTTGTTAAATATATTAACAACACGTTAAATGATATAAGATGTTGTGGCGCCTTCCTGGTAATTGAATCTGCTCAGAAAAAAATTTCACGAAGATAAACAGATACGAAATTTCTTTTTCAACTTGCCCTGTACGCTTAGAAATAGGTTATAAAAAAGAAGATGTTGTAGGATTGTCAATGAGATAACTCTCCACAATAGACCAAAGGACACAAGACATTAACAAACAGTCGAAGAATTCTTATAAAAACTATATTGAAAAGCCCAGACAAATAAATACTCTATCAGATCATGGAAGTATTATATTGACAATATAATACTTCCATGATCAGATTTAAGAAAAATGAAAGCATCTGTCTGACAATTGACAATAGATATAATTTCTCTTATATTATGATTCTATCGATTAATGAATAAACAAAAAAGAATTTAAGATTAAAGATCTTAAAACAATTTATTTCTTTATTATGTTTGAAAAGTAAATGATAACGTATGATTCATATGTGAGGGGGGGGGGGGGGGTCGGACCTTTATCGGGAATCCGGCATCAGGTGTTTTTAAGCTCGGGATTTCGGGATTGATCATTTCGGGATCCGGAAATTCTTTTTTCGAATTTCGGGATGTCGGGATTTAATTTTTTTTAATTCGGAACCTCGGGATTTTATGTTTTTAAGCCCAGGATTTCGGGATCAGGACCCCTCCGACCTCCTCTCATATGTTTAATAGGTGTTAAATATCCTTAATTTTTTGTAATATAAATTTTGTTGGTTACCTGTTCTTCCTTTTTTCCGTTTTAATAATTATGAACATTCAGTTTTTGGTTAAACAAAAATAAATGAAATTAATTAATGATTTTAAAAAAAAATTTCTTACCCCAATAAGAATGTCCTTTAATTTAAAAATGCTAACCAAAAAGAAGGCATATCAAATAAATGAATGAATAAAAAGCAATTACCATGTTGTCTTAATGAACTGTTGCAAAATCAATAGTTGTACAATATCAATCCGTTATTGGTTTTTCAATGCGTAGCTACATGTAGCTATAACTAAAGTTGTATGGTCAATTTCAAATCAAAATGGAGGCAAAAGCCGCGAATCCGAATTATTTTTTCGTATTCTTTATCTATGAATATTGTAAAATTGAAACTGCAGCAACAACTGAACATCTTCTTCATTTTTACCATATATTTCAATTAAAATATGTGATGTTTACTATAGAACCCTATGGGATTTTTTTTTTAATTTTCAAATGACTTTAACTTGAAAACAGTAAGTGATACCACACGTAGTCTTCAGTAATGATCACAGGACAATAAAACAAATCAAATCAAATATGGTGAGTCTATGTGGGTCATCACACCCCCTTCAATATGAGAATGTGCTTTTATCTTGTAAACGGTCGAGATCACCACCCCTAAACCATATATAATCTTTTATTGGAAAATAAAACAAAACAAACAAAATGAAATATTGGAGGGGGGGTCCCCGTGGTCATTCCCAGCCCCTCCTGTTTGAGAACTAGTAAACGGTCGAGATCCCCATCCCGAAACCATATGAATTTTATGTATGGGAAAAATCAAATGAATTAAAAGGCGCGTCCACTGGGGGTCAATACCACCCCCTCCTGTTTGAGAACTTGTAAACGGTCAAGATCCCCACCTTTTGACCATATATGTTCTTGTATGGAATAAAACACAAATCAAATGAAATAAAGGCCGAATCCCCTGGGGAATCACCCCCTTTTGAGAACTTGTTAACGGTCGAGATCCCCACCCCTGAACCATATATATTTCCTGTTACTGTTGAAATAACTATACTTACAAAAGTAGAATCTTCTGAATGAAACGGCAATTAAACTTGGATCAACTCGATTTTCTTCTTTCTGGTTTTCTGATTTCTTGGGGATCAATTTTGAAGCTGTGGTAGCACTTATATCTGTGTCCAAATCCGAATAATGAATTCTGTCATATATTCACGTCATTATATATGTTGTTTTTATATAACATTCATATGTGATTTTATTTTGAGAATCAATAGGAGCCTGTTTATAGAGGATTGGTATCGTGACTATATGGAATCAAGGAGGTTATACGAGAACCTTCTCAAGTAACCCCCTTGATGGAATCAAAAGACTATCATTTTCAAGGACTGCACGGATTTGTCTTTTTATTCAGATTTTTGAACACGGATTATTTGTATACGACAGTTATACATATTCATAACTCTTTATCTCATGTAAATCATCTAAATTTCATTCAAGACAGGACAAAAAATCATCAAACCTGTTATAATAATTTTACACAAATATAAAAATATATATGAAAGAGAGGCAGAAAATACCAAAAGAATTTTTCCATGGGAAATTTAAATTCAAACATTAATCAAAATTTTAATGCTTGAAGTGTAGTATCGCCAAAGTTATTTGTTACAATTATTCAATGGTGTTCAATTATAAAAGAGAGTAAAAACCTGCGTATAAATGTTATTTACACAATTAATCTTAAAACTGTTGATTAATTTAGATAAATAAATGTTCATGTATATGTTATGCTTTTAATCTGTTATAAACACAACTTGTAAAAAGTCAGTGACTCTCATAAATTAAGTTTTGTTTAGGTTCATACAGTATATATTCTGGATGACGTATTTATTTAGTTTTTTAAATGATGAACTTCATAGAGTTTTGTAATTATTGTTTTTCAAATGGTTTAGTTTTTTTTTATTTCTTCTAGATTGACTCTTTAACAAATGAAGTCATCCAAATGAAAAGACAACTGGTAAAAGTGCAAGAAAACCAAAGTAATGTTAAAAGGAAAGTGGATATTTTGATTCAAATGCTACAATAAAAACAAATGAACCAAAAAAAGGAAGCCAAAAGATTAACGTCCCTGCACAAATTGTGCATGTAGTAGGGGATAGCTTTATACAATCTTCGTTTTTATGTTGTGCAACATAACAATATGCACTAAGTTAGGAACTTACAATTCAATACTTTTAGCAAAATGTCATTTATTTCTATTTTTTAACGGATTACAAATGTAAGTGTTGACCATGTACAAAGCAACAATTGTGGTCGGCACAAGATGGCATACATATCACACACTTACAATTTGTGTATTTATTGTTTCCAAACTTTTGAATGCATGTTGTCATGTTTATTGGAACGTAATATTAATGAAGTTGTGAAGTTAAGAATATATATATATTTATATTTTGTATGTTTGCGACTTTTTACACATATGCATTACTTCAGTTCTCAATTTTTTTTTTGATGCATGCAATTTAAATTCATTTCAAATGCCTAAGAGCGTATCTTTTCACTTTTGGCAATCAATAAGTGATGGTTACCAGCAAGGTATTACTGAAAAGGATTTCATCTGGAAAACAAAGAACGAAGCTGGCAGTATCCTTAAGTATGTATATGAAATTAAATGATTTTAAAATTCCGTTGGAAATTGAAAAATCGCATGGGTTATCTACATGCAATTATTTGATGTAATTTAGTTCGTAATGTATTTCCACATTCATCATTAAACAATACGGTTTTCAGAAATATGTTCGATTACTTGTGATACACGATATTGAAACAGATTTAATTTTGATCATTCAACTACTTTCAATCTTTTATCATAATTCTAATTCGAGTATTAATCTGAACTTTTACACTGTGTCTAAACTACCCCGGCGAAAAATGTTTGGACTCAATAGTATCTAATGTCCGGTACGGTGACGGACAATCAA